GACGCCGATCAAAAATAAATAAATAAATAATAATAAATAGATAAATTATGAATAAATAAAAAATACACATTTTAAACAAAGAACGATTCTGAATTATTATTGACATAGGTTGAAAGATTTTTAAAATCCGCAAAGGTTCAAACCTTTGAAGGAAATTAATTTGAATTCCTTCCACAAAAGAAATTTGGACTAGGAATAGCTTGGAACATGTATATAGAGAGCCACATGCTGTTACCAAAATATTTCATACAATTTTCATCAACATTGTACATGCTTTTCCATAAGTCTATATTTTGAAGTTATTTTGTCAATCCTCCAGACACCCCCATTTCCATTTCCGTTCACAGTATTTTTTATTGCGTTAAGTTACAAATTTAATGACACATCAAAGCAAGCCATTTAATTCACAATAGAACAACATTTTGTGGGCCTTCTGTTTTGGGGGAGGGATAACGATTTGATTTTGGGCGGGATGATATTTCAGCCATATTGAGTGTATTATTGTATTAATTCGATTGTAATAAATCGTAAAACTTTTGTTTGGTTGAACACAACAAACACACAGCCACTCACACAAACACATGGACAATAAACATTTACAAGCCAATTGATAAATATCTTTGAATTTGGAAGCTCAAGACAGCAGAAAACAACAAAGATTTCTCAAAAACAATCAAGCATTCAGCTAGTCATTCAATTCGTTTCGAATAACAGCAGCCGAATAGAGACAATAACTACAACAAAAATAACGGATGTAAAGATATAAACATCCGTTTCCTTTGGTGGCCATACACAATGTGTATATCATCTTCTTGTTGGGCCTTTAAACTGCTGCCATTGCCACTGCTGCTTTCAACTATTCCCAATACTCCATTGCTTGGAAGATATTCTTCTACATTTGTCTTTCTATAAAAGTTTGATAGAGTTGTTGTTGTCGTTTTTGTTATTGTTCTGCTATGGCCTTAGCAATGGCTCTTTCTCTCGTTTCGTTTTGCTGTAATTGTTGTTAAACATCCACTTTTGCAATTTGTATTTCCTCTGTGTTTCGTTTTTTGCTTTGTTTGTTGTGTATTAGTGTTAAGGAAACAGGCTATTAGAAAGGGGCAAAAGGGAGATTGGGATAACATACACATACACCCAGACAATATATTTTCAATGCGTTTATGGTATTTAAAGAGGTACAAGGCAATGATTTGGGTATTCTGTTTAAAGAGGGGGTGTAACAAGGACTCGAACACAATATAAATGGAAGATACAACTAATGAAATTTGTTTTATTTTTTACAGAGAATAACAAAAAATATCAAGAAATAAAAAATCAGAGTGCCATGAGTTAGTCCTGAAAATTCATCGCTATGAAAGATATGGTAGCCTATCCACGGTTATGACTCCTTTACGATATGGGATACTGCAATAATTCAACGAAAATATTCACTGTATCCCAATCTCTGGAATGCTATAAGGTGGCCGTTAGAGATCGGTCGCAGGGTATCTAATGCCATCAGGCCGGTAATCTCGAGAATAATCGGGATGGACATACAGAGTGACCACTGCAGTATCAGATATGTGATATTAAGTCTTTCTGACTACTGTAGACTATGTGAATATGAAGAATAGATAAAGACGGTTGAATACCTATTATGAAGATGTCTTAAGTTATCCTACAATCCAGCGAACCAAATTATACGAGTTCGGTCCGACTTCAAACCGAAAGTCGGATAAAAATACCGATTTCGCATGCGTATTCGGTACGACTTCTGAACGAAAGAAAAATGGAGTTGTCTGAAGTTTTAGCTGACTTTTAAAGCGAAGCCGGACCGAATATCCATGGGAAATTCGGAAGGAAAATTAGAGTTGTCGGCCCGATCTCGGAAATAAAATCGTGCGCATTTCTGTTCTTTTTTCCGACATTCCAGTTTTCGGTCCGAATTCGGATCTTATGCAGATATTAACAAGTTAAAAAGTAGTAAGTTCAGAATATAAAATCATTAAAACATTCCGGTAAAATTTTAAAAATACCAAATATAGCCGTTATATTGATGTGTATACGACGTGGGCCTACATAGGCATTGTTTGTCATAAGCCATTACCATATTCAAATTCGAAACTTGAAATAAACGGTGAATAATGTAGCTAAAATCATCAAAATATCGTATATAGGGAGATAACATTATATCAGAGCTGTGCGAAGACCTGGACCTTCATAGACAATTTTCTGTCACAGGCTGTAGCATCCATTACGAGCTTCAAATACCACATCTCAAACAATTTCGGTGGGTATTGTACCTAAAATCGTCAAAATACCGAATATAGGGATGTACTGATATATGGGGCCTATACGAAGACCTGGACCAGCATAGACGATTTTCTGTCTTAGGCTGAAGTATCCATTTCGAACTTCAAATACCAAATTTGAAACAATTCTGGTGAATAATGTCGCTAAAATCATGAAAAGACCAAATATCGGGAGGTACCGTTATATGGGGGCTATATGAAAACGTGGACCTACATGGCCCACGAACTTAACCTGCATACTGGAAAACTAAACATGTGTGCAAAATTTTAGCCATCTATCTCAATTCATTCGAAATATAGCGTGATTACAACAGACGGACAGACAGACAGGCAGACAGACGGACGGACAGACAGACAGACAGACATCGCTAAATCGACTTAGAATTTTACGCTGATCAAGAATATATATACTTTGTTCGGTCTGACATGAGTAATTCGAGGAGTTACAAACGGAATGACAAAGTTAATATCCCCTTCATAGTATGGCGGAGGGTATAAAAACAACTGTCATAATGTACTGACAAAATCAAATAGCAATAACTGTCGACTATTCTTCAGTAATAACTGTTGAATATGTATAAAATGCCAAGTATCATCATACCAGATCTTATATCCGATCTGATCGTATAATATCCAATCAAAATTTCTAGCAGTGGAAATGGAAGTTAAGTACAATACAGTCAGTGTGGAAACCTGAAAAAGAAGTTGATTCGACATCTGCCATCAACGGTAACTGTTTCCTCAAAGAAATGTACGACTTATTTTAACCGGCAGTTTATAGTGCACACCAGACAAAAAAAGGGTACCAGGTCGTGTGGAATCTTTTGAAGTAGAGGATACAACCAAAATTTTCATTGTCCTTTTTTGTAGAGGATACAACATAAATTGTCAGTGTTTGTATCCTTCACTCGAAACGTGTTCTGAAGCGCATGTTATCCAGAATTCCTTGTTATAAGAAAATCTATATTATTATTTCAAAGCAAATTTATGAAGTTCTATTTGAGTCCCCAATGATAAAATTCACTACATCTCATGACATTGAAATCCGCCATATTTTAATTTTCCAATTGAAATTTTTGTTACAGAATCTGAGGTGCAGTTGTTTTGTATGGCAAAATAAGCTCAACTAGCTCAATATTTAGTCTGGACAAAGATGCCAACTAAGGGACTCGTAGATGGATATTACTGCAACGCCGTAAAGAAAGCTGACTCTCTATTGCAAAATGGCGCCCAATGGTTCGGATTAATTTTTCTGGTTAAAATTAAGTAACATATGAAGCCGGTTAAAATAAGTCGTAAATTTCTTTGAGGAAACAGTTACCGTTGATGATATTTCATAGTTTTATTGGACAGGTAACATTTTTAATTTTCTTAAATATATATTTTTTCAATTTTTTAACATTTAATAAAAAAATATTTCAGTGATTGTTGAGGAATTTGTGATCAAGGTCACAGTTTTGATTTTTTTCCTAAATTTTGAGAATTCTTATTCTTATACATATATTGTTTACTTTTGAGCTAATTTAGTTACCAATTAAAAAACAATAAAGAAGATTCAAATGTCGGACCGACTGATATGCTTAAATCGACTCTGAATATGATTATCATCAAAAGCAACTATGGGTCTATATTGTTTCCTTTTTCATGTTACAAACAAATGCTTAAACACAATACACAATTGTAGAGCAAGCTTTGAAAAATGTGCCTAAAATCATTAAAATATCAAAATTTTGGAGATCCAGTTATTTTAGGGTAATATATAATATTAGGACCAATGCTGTATCCAATATGAACTTAAAATACCAAATTTCAAACAATTATATTTAAAATGTAGCTAAAATCATCAAAATAATGAGATTTGGGATACGAACCCGAATAGATAAATATCTGGCCTCGAAGGTGAGACCTATCATTCTAAATAATTTGTCTAAAATTATTCAAATTCCAAATCGTGGACACAGAGATCCCATACCAAAAATTCTACCGGTAGGTAATTTTTTTTCAAAATCGGTCCAAAAATGTGAACCATCAATAGACCTAAAAAGGACATAAGTTTCCTATAATGAAATATCAAAGTGTGTACCGATATAAAATTTTCTCTTGGGCGAATTTTGATACAACCAGGGCCTCAATTCTATTTTTATGAAAGTGTGAAATGAAAACTAACACGAAATGTCTAATGAAAAAATTGTAGAACTAGATTCCAGTCCCAGATCTCCATATATATAAATGAGTTTATTGAAATTATTTAAGGAAGATAAGAGGGGTTTTATTGTGAAGGGAGTAAAAAACATAAAAAATTTAAATTAATTAAAATTCCAACTTTCTGAATTGCAAACAAAATCGATCAATTCGGACTATCGTTGTGGGTCTAATTTTGATGTTTCTATTTTCTTAATATGTTGAAAATGATTCACAATTTGGTATAACTGTAAAAAGCAATATCAGATCTTTTTGAGATTTTAGCCAGAATTTTTAAATATGAAATTCCGAAAACATTCAAAAACGTTTTATTCTGACAATCCTATTTAGAGTTACATAAATTAGACTAAGTTTTTAACCCTGGCTCTATTGTCCTTTAAATGACTAGTCTGGCCAACAATTTTTCTACAGTGGAATGTTCTCAAAAAATCAAAGTGTACTTGGAGAACTTAATCTAATCCTTCTTAATTTGACGTTTGACTTATTATTTATTTTTAATTTTACCTTTCATATGGACTGGCTCTTCATGTCATCTTCTTCATAAATCATCTGAAAATAACAAAAATAATAAAACGAATTTTAGTTTTTCTCTTGGAAAATACATCTTAATAAAAACATTTCAAAATAAGGGTAATTTTGCAATCCCCTCAAGCACTTTTTAATAGAAACAATTAAACATCCTTAATGTTTTTCCCCTTATACAAAATTATCACTTATAAAGTATCACAATTAGTGCGATAAGTTTGTAGACTAATTAACTAAGTTTTAAATTCCCAGCCACCTTGAAGTTTATTAAGCTAATCTTGATTATTATAATTATCAACTGAATATTTTGCTAACAAAATTTCATATGATAACTAATTAGTTTTGTAGGTTTGAAATAGTATGAAAGGGTAGGTATTGTGCATATCTAACTGAACCAAAAAAGTGCGGTTCGTTTTAATTTAGTTTTGTGAAAAAAATTTAAATTATAATGTACAATTAAAAGTTTTTGAGCACTATGGATAATACTATATCACAAAGTATTATATTTTGAGAACCTTTCATAGAAATATTTCATGAAGGGAATGTCCTCAGTATGTCTTCTCTAGTACATGTCTAATTTTACTACTTAAATAAATGTAGATGGCCTTATGGGCATATTCTGCGGAGGATATTTTGAATAAAAAATTTTATACCCTCAACCATATGGCTAGTTATACCCTCAACCATATGGCTAGAGAGGGTATATATCATTTGAAACGACCAAAAAGCGCCTCATCGAATTAACGGTTTTAGACCCTAGGTCTCATTGGACCAAATCCGTTTCATTTGGAGTCTATATAGCGATGTCCGTCCGTTCGTCTGTCTATCTGGCTGACTGGCGTGCACGATAACTCCCGAAGGAAGTATCCGAGTTGGTCCAAAATTGGCACATTGTGATATAATTGTCAAACTTAAAACGAGTTCGGAGATGGGCAAAATCGGTCCACTTCTTCTGGAACTTGTCAAAGAAAATAATCTGAAAAAAACTGTCAAACAAATAATTTACTGCACAGAAAGGGAAAATATAATCCGATTCTGCTCCAATTTTGCAAATCCTAATATTTCAATCCGTGCTACAGCAGGTACGAAAATTGACAATATCGGTTCACTCCATCCAATACATCCCCCACAAAGGGTCAAAATTTTGAATAACTATAACTCTAATAAAATATGATATAAGTATCCGATTGTCTTCAAATTACACATATCACAATATTATTTATAACCAAATGTCTGGTGTGAAGATGGAATATATCTTTGAATATTCATGAGCTCATAAAAAAACGAAATTAACATCCGATTCCATTCAAACTTGGCACATCTCAATACTTCTATCAACACAAGATCTGTTATAAAGATGGTAGAGATCGGACCATTCCTTCTGGTATCTCCTCCACAAAGGGTCAAAGTTATGAGAAACCAAGACGATTATAAAATCTGAAATAAGCATCGGTTCTCCAAATTTTTCCCATCCCATATCGTTCGACTCCTTCTGGCACCACCCCACAAAGGGTCAAAATTTTGGATATCCATGAAGCTCATAGAACTCAAAATTACCGTCCGATTCCATTCAGACTTGGCACATCTCAATACTTCTATCAACACAAGGTCTGTTATAAAGATGGTAGAGATCAGACCATTCCTTCTGGTACCTCCTCCACAAAGGGTCAAAGTTATGAATAACCAAAACGATTATAAAATCCGAAATAAGCATTCGGTTCTCTAAATTTTTTCACACATCCCCTTGTTTTTGCTAACACAAGATCTACTGAGAAGATGGGATATATCGGTCCACTCCTTCTGATACCTTTTCCACAAATGATCAAAATTTTGAATATCCACGAAGTTCATAAAACACGAGACTAACATTCAATTCTATTCAGACTTGGCACATCTCAATACTTCTATCAACACAAGATCTGGTACTTCCCCACAAAGGGCAAAGTTTTGAATAACCAAAACGTTTATAAAATCCGAAATTAGCATCAGGTTCTCTTTGTATTTCACACATTCCATTATTTCTACTAACATAAGATCTATTGTAAAGATGGGATATATCGGTCCTCTCCTTCTGGTACCTCCCCCACAAAGTGTAAAAATTTTGAATATCCAAGAAGCTCATAAAACCAGAAATTAATATGCGATTCCATTCAGACTTGGCACATCTCAATATTGCTATCAACGAAATATCTGTCATAAGTATGGTAGAGATCGGACCATTCCTTCTGGTACTTCCCCCACAAATGGTCAACGTTTTGAATAACCAAAATGATTATAAAATCAGAAATAAGCATCAGGTTCTCTTTTCACACATTCCATTATTTCTACTAACATAAGATCTGTTGTAAAGATTGGATATATCGGCCCTCTCCTTTTGGTACCTCCCCCACAAAGTGTAAAAATTTTGAATATCCAAGAAGCTCATAAAACGAGAAATTAACATCCGATTGGATTCAGACTTAATACATTTCAATATTTCCATCAGCACAAACCTTTTATGAAGATGGTAGAAATCGGACCAATTCTTCTGGTACCTCCCTCACATAGGAGGGTCCGACACGGAATGGACAATATTGACCTATAACTTCGAAACATACTCCGCAGAGGGTCAATAATTTGAATAATCGTAACAGAGAACAAAATGTATTTAAATAATCGAACATTGGCTGAGGATATACATCTGTTGGCAAAACCGACTGATACTTTTTAACCTGTTTAGTTTTCTTTCAACGATACTTTGAAGGAAATAGGAAAAATATATATATTGAAAAATGTTTCATGTTTTTGAAAATCTTCAGTTTTTGACCGCATTACATTTTTTTCCTTTTTTACCCTTCAATGCTACGTTCCCCTTTCCAATATTAACAAAATTTAAAATTTGGATAAAAAAAAACCTTTTTGGGTTGGTAGTTTGTTTATGACACTGTTTTTCTCATCAGCCTTAAACGTATGTGGCCTAGATCAGAACAACGAACATACATGCATTGCCAACTGACAACAAACAATGACATATTTAAATTCAAACTAACCAAGGTAAATAAATTCAATAGCACAGAAAATGAACTCGACAATGAGGCAACAGGAGTAGTACCACCACCATCACCATGCTACTGCTGGCCATGGAAATTTGAGTCAATTTTAACAAAAGCTACTGTTTTTCGGTAAACTATTTTCATTCAGGGACATTAAGAAACACACACACACCGACACACACAAGGACAGCTAAACAAACAACTAACTCACAACATGTCCTCGTACTTCACACTCCACTACATTGAATATAAGTCAAAGCGGAATATGTAAATGTTGCGGCCATCGGGCCACCATGTGTCGTTAGGTGTAGTTTTTGGAGCCTCATGGCGATGCGTGGTGGCGGTGCTGGTGTGGTTTCCTTGATTTAGACCACTCAGCCAATGGGCACACAGAAATTCACATGTGGTCAGTCAAACGTTATTTAAACAACAAAACTGACCAAAATTCTGGTGGACAGTTTATAAAATGGGTGTGAGTGAGTGTGTGTGTGTTTGGTTTTTTGCATTATGGTCATTGATTTTATGCGATATGCGTCCCGCTAAGTTCAATTTGGTGGTTTTTGGTGGAATAGGATATTTAAGAGGAGGGTAACATTGATTTGCATGCAGGGAAATTGCGTCGGGTTGACAAAGGTAAAATTTCATGAACGGCTGCGTGGAGTAGAATTTTATATTTAAAAAAAAAAAAAAAATGTGCCAGTTTAGATGGAAATTAGAAATTATTTCAGGAATACCAAGAACAATTTTTCAAAATAAATTTAATTTAGAACATGCCGGGGGTAATTAGTGTGTCTTGCGCATGTTAGTTATGATGGGCTTTTAAGATGTATCTGAACCTTTTCCAATTTTATTAGGGTTAAACTTTGAGGATTAAAAACTGAAAGTTTAAAACAACAAATTGTCGGATGGCAATTTTTTGATTGAGGCATGAGTATGTTTCTAAATATTTATAGTTTAACGAGTTAAAAAGAATTAGTCTGTCTTGCCGATACCCTCTTCCAATGATCGTTTATTTAAATATATTTTGAATTGGACTATGATTATTCATACTGTTGACCACTTATGTGAGGTGTTGAGAAGGAGAGGAGTAATATTGTCCGTACGGCTGCTATAAATATTTCAAGTACCAGATTTGGAATATATCGACCATTTCCTTAAGATAAAAAAACCCAAAAAGCTTTATTATTATTGTTTTTATTATTATTATTATTATTATTATTATTATTATTATTATTATTATTATTATTATTATTATTACTATAATTACTATAATTATATTTATTATTATTATGAATTTTAATTGAATATTGTGGCAGATACCTTCAATATACCGGAAATCGGGAAGTACCGTTATATGGGGGTCATGCCAATTAGTAGGCCTGTAGCGAATATTTTTTTCAGGGAGAGAACAGGCCTTCCAATAACTCCAAATGTAAAGTTTTAGCTTATTTGGTTGGAAATTTTGGCAGAAACATTCCAAATACCGAATTACCGCTATTTTGGGGCTAGTCCAAACGTGGGCCCATATAGTCTATTTTCAATACCAATCATGCCAAATTTCATAGTCTAGATTAAATAATGTGCACTCATCAGATTTCAACAGATTGTACGCAGGTCAAAAATGTCTATACTTCTTGGGGTATCAGAGGAATATTTCGGGAATTACAAATTTAATATGCCCTCTGTTGTATGGTGGAGGGTAAAGAACTATTTTGAAATGGGTAATGATTATTCAAACTGTTGACCCTTTATGGGGAAGGTTCCGAAGAAATGGGACAGTATTTCCCATATCATATCTATTCTAGGACTGATATAAATATTAAAAGAGCCAGTTTTGGACTATATCAACAATTTCCTCTACATATATCAACTTGATATATGTGATACGATTTGGAAAATGTAGAAATGAGATAAAAACATTGGGATGTGCCAAATATGTGAATAATTGTTAAACAAAAGTTATGCCTTTTGTGGGAAAGGTGCCACAAGAAA